ATGCAAAGTAAAAAACTAGCTTCACAAATAAGATCAAATTTTTATCATTAATTAATAATTATATATATAAGTATGTACCTAGAGTTACATATCTCTTTTTATAGTGCATCAGAACGCTAGAAAATTTGCATTATCTAGAAAAACACTTTACTAGTAATGATAAAAATTGTACCCAACACACCATTTTGGAAATTTAAGCCAAAAGGCCAAACTGTATTATTTTTTTTAAAGAAAAAAGGCATTTCCTGATCGTGCAACTAAGAGTTGCTGATGGCTTGCGCCATCTATCGGAATAAATATCAACTAATCGTTGATTTTTTATTATTCCAGAATTGGCCAAATACCCATTGCTAACCGCGTACGCGTTTCGGGCTGTTGGCCCTCGTCAGCGTGGTGCAAGCTGTACCTCAACGACCAAAAAGGCTGGTCTTTGGGGCATCCATAAAAAACATGAAACAGGTATTAAGGCCGGAAGGGCGTGAGAACGCCAATTAATGTGAAAAATAGAACAAAAGTGAATCTGTACTTGGATCAGGTAGATAAATTAAGAAAAAAGGCATTTCCTGATCGTGCAAATGAAAGTTACTGATGGCTTGCGCCATATATCGGTATAAATATCAACTAATCGTTGATTTTTAATTGCATTCTATTATTTTTGTCTTAATCATTCAAAGCTGTGGTATTGGTAATGTAACCATTGGGTGGGTTTATATTTGATGAGCCAGTCCTTTCCTCCATCGTTTAAATATTGGCTCTATTAGGTGTGCAAAAATACACTCATGGACAAATCTTAAGGAGGTTGTACGTTGTAGCATATATATCTCCGGATTCAGACAATAACTCTAAAAGATATTACAATGACTTTTATTGAAGACACACGAGATAACCAAGTATGAACAAAACTTGAGGAAGTTGTACCTTTTACCATGTATATCGGGATTGAGACAATAACTCTGTAAGATATTACAGTGACCTTTATTGAAGACACATGAGATAACCAAATGTGAACAAAATTGCCTCTGTTTGCCTATGTATAAAAAAGCATACAGCTGTCGACATCAAAATGAGTGTATTAGTGTAATTTTTGATCAAAAAAAGTGGCTTTAGAAAGTTTGTCACGAATTTTAACGATATGGAGTTCTAAGATGATGGTGTACATCTAACTCTAATTGTGAAAATGTTTTCTCTTCAATTTCGGAATTTCACACAAACATAATGTTAAGAAATACAATTTATTACTTTATATATTAACTCTATAAAAAGAGAATATAAAATACAAAAATAATTTGCTAGCTAAATATCCGTTTACAATAAAATTTAAAAATAGTTAATTCAATTATTAAAATTAATATAAATATATTCTTAAAAATAAAAATAAAGAATAGCAATTCTGATCAAAATTAATTTTTAGAGAATATATATGTAACACGAATAAATTGAATATTCATACTATATTATTAGTGTATTCTAATAAAAACTAATACATTTTCAAATTAATAAACAAAATATATCGATTATTCATTAAAAAAATATAGCAACAACGTAGAAAATATCCTATTAGAATTTTCTATGGTATTAATTAAAGAGAATTAAATTTTTTTGACACTTTCCAAGATTAATCGTTAGGGTCAATATATTTTTTGTTTAATTAAAGTAGTTTTACATAGATAAATGGGTATATTCTAATAGAGCTAACAAGTGGTGAGAACGTTGTTTATCTTCTGCTAATTATAAAGTTTCAATTTATAATGTGGTTAGGGAGTGGAACAAATTAGCTTTGACATCCTCTCCACACCTTATAGTTAATTCTGTTAGTTTATTTCAACACTGGATTGAATTTAGTCATTAACCTTTTTATAGTTTACTCATGTTTTTTAATAGATAGCTTATTATATAACAAAATATATTGATTTATTATAAATATTTCAAAGCCACAGTATATCGAAAAAATCCTTATTTATATATTTTAACTACAGATTGAGAAAAGGTGCAACACACGAAATTTCTAAAAATATTTATTTGAACATTTTGAGGTGAGTTATTCATATACTGTATTTCTCATCAATGGAGTATATACCGCAATCTATACTTTCATGGACAAAATTTAAGGGAGTGATATATTTTTTATTTCGCCTGTCGTATGTTTTTATTTTAGTATTTTTAGTGGAAGAGAGAGAGAGAGATTGATTGATTGAAACTGATTTATTACAAGGTTTTTGAGATTATATAAAGTTAAATACATAAATATGAGTAAATAAGATTAAGTAATGATAAATATATGAATAAATAGATGTGAATGAAAAGAGAGAGAAAGAGGTAATTTCTTCATACTTGGTTATCTCGTGTATCTTCAATAAAGGTCACAGTAAAAACTTTCAGTGTTATTGTCTGAATCTCGATTTACATGTGGAAAGGTACATCTTCTTTAAGTTTTGGTTATGAGTGTACATTTTCAATCTGTTTTAGCACTAACTTCCACCAAAATACCACCAGATAATATATCCTGGTTTGTTACTAAACTAGTTGATATTTAATAAAATCCTAAATAATTGCAATTAGATATTCAAGGAATGAAAGGAAGAAAAAATTGCAAAGAGTTTCTTTATTCTAAATGTTGGCGAGCTTTCAGGCGTTAGCCTATCTTCAGGCCGATTTCGCAAAAAAAAAAAACAAGTACAAAAGCATTATATTTCGCAAATCCCTTCAGCTTGCAAAACGTATATATATATTTTTTGCGAAATCGGCCTGAAGATAGGCTAACGCCTGAAAGCTCGCCAACATTTAGAATAAAGAAACTCTTTGCAATTTTTTCTTCCTTTCATTAGTTTATATTTGGAAGTTGAAGAATTGGGTGAGCCGTTCCAGCAGTTTCTTCAGTTTAATCCATGATAATGATTTTTAAAACTATTATATTGTATTGGGCAATTCTAAATATATCCGATACGGTATGGGGAACATTGTATCTCCATATTTGCATATAATTTTACTATTCCTAAAGCTTATATACATATTTTATCAAATACAATATCTAAGATATTAAGGTTATCGATATATTTATTCTTTTATCTGATGATGGTAACAATATTGTTGCCGAAAGGTCACACACTATTAAATTATTTGGATTAGGTCCTATTTTCTTTTATCGTAAATATTAAGGCTGCCTTGCCGGCATTCATATTCAGGCTGGTATTCATAGGTAATAAAAGATTTACTGGTCGAAGTATCTTTATTTTCAAGAAATTATTGTATTATTTTATAATCTATAATCCAAATTGTGCTTTATCACTTTATTGGAGATTAAAATTTAAAAAAGCGAGTTAATCATCGAAATAATATAGTAATAAAATAATTATATAAATCTAAGATTTCCAACATATAAAAATAATCCGGAAATATTAAAAATAGAAATCCTATTTACATCAGACATATCATTTTTTAAAATAGAACTTTATTTTTAACACTTAAACGAAATCACATTAACAAGTCAAATCTATTGATAATGGTTAAGAAAATGATATTAGGCATATATTGCTATGCAGGCAAAATGGGAAAAAAGAAGGTATTATGGAATAATTTAGTCGTTGAATATTAAATTCAGCTGATGCTTCTGGTAGCATAATGACAAACATTTAGAATGTCATTTTGGATTCGACAGCCATTGATGCTTAAATGACTTCTCGACAAAGCGGCCATCAAAATGGTAGCGTATTGTATTGAATAATGCATGAAGCTAGCATTATCGAGATACTAAAATATCCTTTTTCTTAGTTGTATAGGTGTGTATATTATTTATAACTAATATATCTATTATATATAGCTTCTCAAATATACATAAATAAAGTCTTATGAATTATATTTTATTATAAAATAATTGAATGAAGAATAAAAACATCTATATGTACAATAATAATTATCTAAACATATTTATGTTTAGAAACGCGTCCGTGGTTGTATTTTCTTGTTTAATCAAGATTGGGTATTTGGCCAATCCTGGAATAATTAGAAATCAACGAGAATAGTTGATATTTATTCCGATAGATGGCGCAAGCCATCAGCAACTTTCATTTATACGATAAGGAGATGCCTTTTTCTTAATGAAAAAATGAAAATATTGTTTTAAAATCTTTATTATATTGAGATAGAGAGCATGAAAAATATCTGGTAGAATTAGAAAACGAAATTAAGGATAACAATATACAAAATAGAGCTTTATATATATATATATATATATAATCTATCTTTTTCTTATCTTATTCGCACGAACAACGTTATTCCTAGACGACGCTAGAATGTGGATAAGAAAATTGACACAAATAATCAAGAGTTTGTGATATTTCTCCGATTGTCCATAATTACTGATCTAGATTTCATTCCTTTATCTCAATTCTCGTGGTGTCCCGTTGTCCCTTGGACCCCGACTACAGCCCTCTACAAGGCTAAAAATGATGATATAACTTCAGTAATATATATAATAGAATCGCTAAATATATATGTTATATAAAATATTATTTTATTTAAAATCATATTTTCATAGATTCAAATATTCTGCTAAATCGACCGCCAGAGGTCACTCTTCCCCTATAAAAACTGTTGTTGTTTTATCCCAATGGCCGGCTCAAAACCTTTGTACATTATGTAAATAATATTTTGTTTCTCCTTGTTCTACTCGCCTTAAGCCAGGCATTACTTTCATCAAATTGTTTTATATATATATTCCATGGGTTCAATTAAAGCAATATCTGATCAAGACTATTTATTTATAATACTTATAAATGACTGCGGCGTATAATTATAAAGCTATACAACCAGTTTAACCGCATAAGTTTCTTTTTATTTATGAAAAATCATTTTTAATTTCAAAGAGAAATAATTTAATATTTCTAACTTTTGGATGACGTATGAAAAGGTTGAATATATGAAGAGTGATGGTCTATATATGAATGGATGACGTATGGAGGGTGAAAAATATGAAGAGTAATGGCGAACGGAAAAATAAAAGTGTCCAGGAGCGGGAATAGTGGACATGGCACCTGCCCGGTAAGCAGAAGGTTGTGGGTTCGATTCCCGCTCCTGGACACTTTTATTTTTCCGTTCGCCATTACTCTTCATATTTTTCACCCTCCATACGTCATCCATTCATATATCGACCATCACTCTTCATATATTCAACCTTTTCATACGTCATCCAAAAGTTAGAAATATTAAATTATTTCTCTTTGAAATTAAAAATGATTTTTCATAAATAAAAAGAAACTTATGCGGTTAAACTGGTTATATAGCTTTATAAGACTATTTATATCATTATTCTTTCAAGATTTTTAACCACGACTGCATCACCATTACCATAATCCTCAACATGATCAGAATACAGCAGAAAATCTCATTTTTATATTATAACATATATATTTTTAAATAAAATTTCTAATCATTTTTTAAATTTCTTTCCTTATTGGACTATACATTATCATTGTTCTGTTTTTGTTAGTTCATACATGGACTCTCTATTCCTCTTTCTTGTTTTTCCCACTAGATTCCGCGTATATGAGGCGTAACTACTGAAGCTTTAGCGTGAACTTGATTAGATCTTTAATTGTTTCGAAATATACACCTATCCCCCGATTTACCCGGTACTTTATTTTACACGTTTTCGCTTTTACACTGTTTTCCAAATAAGTTTTTTTATTTTTTTATCGCACTATCGCACTATACTAAATGCTACTGTGATTGAACACATGCGCTGTGTACACATCTCACGAAGAATCCAGAGCTTATGTGCTGACTACATATTTTAACCTGTCAATGCATTTTATTTTTATTTCTGTGTACACCTATCCCCCGATTTACACGTTTTTTCTCAGGAACGTATCTACCGTGTAAATCGGGGTAAAATATAGGTGTATATAGTATTAAAAAAAGGCATATCCTGACCACTCATATGAAAATTTCTATATGATAGAGCGCTATCTAGTATAACAAAAATAAACTGAACGTTTATTTAACTTGTTCCGTGATAATTGGCCAACCCAATTTATTGATAAATCAAGAAAAGTCAACCATGAACGCGTTTCGGGGTTGTTGGCCCTAGAAATGCTCATGTGAGCCTGGTCAGGATATCACTTTTTTTGTTTATAATATCAACACCTGACCTATTTTGTATTTGTTTTCACACGCACACACACACACGCACATATATATGTTATAATAAATATTATTTTGAGATAGAAATTAATTGCTGGTTCTTTTGAGTACATGAGTACTTAATGGTATCGTTTGCAGTCGTGTCATTTTGAAAGAAAAGCAGAAAAAGAACTATTTACTATCAAGTAGTTTTTATTTTAAATTACTTGAAGAAAATTACAATAAGACATTTTTCACAGTTATATAGAATTTATGAAATGAATTATATATTAGTGAATTTCAAAAATAGGTTAGATAACTACATATTTACAACAAGTATTAAAAGTCGGCGTATTCTAAAACTATAATAAAAAAACAAGTAGAACTATCAATGAATGGAAATAAAATATATATTTTTAATTATAGAATATTTTTATATTTAGATATATAATATATATATTTTAATTTTACAAAATATTTCCTTATATTTTTCATGTAATTTATATTTCTTAAGGTAAATATTTATTATTCCATTTAATATGATGCCATATTTTTGAATCATAATTTTCCCGTACTGCCGTGTTCCTTGGTTAACCGATGCCGTCCTGTTGTTGCACATTTCCGTTGTTGATCCACTCTTGCCAACATTGTCTAATAGCCGCATCATTTCGACACATGTCACGCCATCACTCTTCCAATCACATGACGACCTCTTTAAAACTCTAACATATGTTCGTAATGAACACTAATCTTTCTCCGAGGCATTGTAACAGTAGAAATAGATTTACTGAAATATATTAAAACGTAAATTTTGAAATACAGCTAGTGCAGCGCTGAATATCGAGTCAATTTACTCTTTTTAGATGCACTAGAGCCTTTGCTTTGCAAAAATAGGCCACAAAATTTAATTTGCATGTGCGAGATCCAAAAAAAAAAAAAAAAACACGACCGGAAACATCGAGTTTCAACTTTGAGTTCTGTCCATGAGTGTAGTAGGCAAAAGATTAGACAAATTTGTTGATTATACAAATATTTTGATCAAAAATAGTTCATTTTCTCAGCCTTCACAATCTCGGCCTAAATTCTGATAAGACAATATTAGACTATTTTAGGCTTCAAAAAGCCTCTTTCTAAATTTTATTAACAAAATTTTAATAAATTAATTATCTATGAATAGGTATAGTAAAGAATTTGTGTTTTCATATTTCAGACAGAATAATCTTACGTAAATGTTTAAAAAAAGTTACCTCAACTATAAATTATACAAGCAATCTTTGTAGAAACAGAAAAACCTCGGTAAAGCGACTTGCATAAAGTAAAACCTTCCTTATAACGAAACTTATAGTTTCTAAAGTAATAGAAAAATGTTTAAAGTACACAGTTTTAACCAATAGGATCCTTTATAGAAGTCTATTTAGAGATGGTTTTACTTATTAAATGGAACAAGATATGTGAAAAGCATTTCAACTCCATACTTTTTATGTGCCAAACACATTGATTACCTCCCTTTATTTGTAGATTTGCAATTGTGAAAATTTTGCGGAAATTGATAAAGGTTACTTAATAAAAGTACACAATTCTGAAATATCGCCGATTCTATGTTTGGTTGGATAAAAATAAATGTAGAACTATATATAGGCAGCGTAAAAAACAAATTAAATAAACGAGGGTTTACCATGCAACAACTTTTATTCTATTCAATGCCAAAACAAAATTTAAACTAAATTTAAATTTCAAATTCAACATATCACTTTTTGTATTTTGGTAGAAATCCCATAGATGATGCAATAAGGTATGTCTCTATTATTATATAAATCATTAAAATTGCAGCAAAAATCGATACAATTTCTTTCCAATCTTTCCATTTTCTCTTGTTCACTTTCGGCTTTTGGTTGTTACTTTCCTCATCATTACAGCGAGTAGCCGTTGAATGGAAATGGCGAATAGTAGAAAGCTTTCCAGGGCTTTTTATTGAAGATGCAATGCCGGAATTATTTAAAATCCATGGTTTTCTTGATTCGATATATTTCGAGGCTTCATGACAAATCATAGAAGAGTTACAGACTTCCATTGGTAGAGCTTTTATACCATTTAAAGAATACATTTTCTGGAAATCTTTGTTCTCCAATAGAGTGTTTACAGCAGGGAATTTTAGGTCTTCGTTTTCTAATGGAGATATTGCTAGGGCAGGGAAGGTATGCAATTTCAGAACATTTTCGTTCACCAATGGAGCTATTTCTACTTTAGTTGAAGTAGGAAATTTCTGAAGGTTTCTATCAAAGAGATTTTCTAGAGAAGTTATGTAGACACTTTTAAGATTTTCGTTTATTTTTCGATTGGCCTCTAGAAAAGAAGAATCGTAAAGATATTGCACGCTTCCTTTCTTAATTAGATTGACTTTTTGCAGTGAAGTGCAATTTTCCTTCAAAATTCCCATGTTCAATGTTTTCCGAGCTTGTGTAGACAACATGGGAAATTCCTGCGAATTACATATCTTAAATGGATGGATAGCGAAGGCAGCTTTGAAATAGCTCTTGTTCTTGAAAAGGTTGAAGTTTAACCCATTGGGAACCTCTTGGAATTTCCTGATCTTTACAGGCTTTACCATTCCCATAACAGCATTAGGTAACTCTTGCCATGGTAACTTCTTGGATGCTAACATCTTTGGTGTTTGATGGAAGAATCTGAAATGGGGAAAGAAACATACGTTTGCCCGAGTCAATATCATCTTCAAACACTTTCGCAAACTTTGCGATACTGAAATAGCTCATTCATATCCATTATTTATAGTGTAACCATATTTGCATAATGTTATATATAGGAAAGTATGTAAATATGAATTTTCGATTGGATTATATGCAAATATGCAGTTTCTTAATTTCAAGAATGCATTTATTGGACTTCATTATAGGTATATTTATCTTATTTGTTATATATGAATTCGACCATAAAATCTCTTGTAATTAAATATTATTTTTCTACTGAAGAGAACCATTTTCAGTAACACGTATGTATAGAAAAAATCTTTTTCAAAATATATCCTTGATATTTTTCATTTTATGTCTTAATGTAAATATTTATTATTCCATTTAATATAATATGATAATATATTTTTGAATCATAATTTTACCGTACTGCTGTGTTTCTTGGTCGATCACTGCCGTCCTATTGTTTCATATTTCCGTTTTGATCCATTCTTGCCAACATTGTCTAATAGCCGCATCACTTCGACACACATGTCGCGCGATTAGTCGATTTGATCAACCAGAATCTTTCAATCCAATCGCAAGACCTCTTTCAAACTCTGACATATGTTCACAATGAGCACGAATTTTTGGAGGAGGCATTTTAACAGTATAAATAGACAATGCAAAATATAAAACGTAAATTTTGAAAACCTGTTCGTTCAACGCTGAATATAGAGTCAATTTACTCGTTTTAGATATACTAGAGCTCTTGCTTTGCATAAATAGGCTACAAATTTTAATTTGCATGTGGAGATCCAAAAAAATAAAAACACGACCGGAAACATGGGTTTCAACTTTAAGTTCTGTCCATGAGTGTAGTAGGCAAAAGATTAGACAAATTTGTTGATTATACAAATATTTTGATCAAAAATAGTTCATTTTCTCAGCCTTCACAATCTCAGCCTAAATTCTGATAAGACAATAATAGACTATTTTAGGCTTCAAAAAGCCTCTTTCTAAATTTTATTAACCAATTTAATAAATTAATTATCTATGAATAGGTATAGTAAAGAATTTGTGTTTTCATATTTCAGACAGAATAATCTTACGTAAATGTTTAAAACAAGTTACCTCAACTATAAATTATACAAGCAATCTTTGTAGAAACAGAAAAACCTCGGTAAAGCGAATTGCATAAAGTAAAACCTTCCTTATAACGAAACTTATAGTTTCTAAAGTAATAGAAAAATGTTTATAGTACACAGTTTTAACC